TGAATGAGTACATGTTATTTTTATAATAAAATGTATTTTAAATGAAAAAAATCTTAAAAATAGTGGACAGATTTTTCTGATAGTTATATACTATGAAATATTATTTCTGTGACTAAGTTTAGGATATAATTTATTATATTGACAGTTCAGGATAAATCTGCCTGTATTAAACTTTTGTAAGAAAGCTGCTGTCTTATTATTCTACAGGCTATCTAGCTCTTTTCTAATATCCATTGAATTGGAAAGTAACTCAGTGAAGATTTATCTTATTTTTATAAACAAGATTGTTTCCGACCGAAGTCTAAGTAATGAAACCTTTCACAGGAAATGAGATACAGAAAGGCAGGAGTTGACAGGGATTTTACGAGATGTTGCGAGTCAGTTGAGCACAACTTTCTTGCCGGAAAATGGTATCATGCTTCTTAAACACTAATGTGTTATCAAAAAACAAATGTCAATTTGAAACTACATTGTTTATTAAAAGACAATGTTCTAGTGTCAACTGACGGTATTTTAACATTATGCTTAGTCATAGAATGTTCTTTGAGTTTGGTTTGGATGATAAATGCTGAAATTGGCATAGCTGAAACTTGAAGTATGATTTATTTGGGGTTGTTTTTCAGGTGAAGCTCTGAAAGTATCAGCTGAGAGATTTGCAGATGACCCCTGCTATCTCCCGAAAAGAGAGGCTGTGGTTCAGGCCGCCCGTGCATTGTTGGCGGCCGTTACCAGACTCCTTATCCTTGCAGACATGATCGATGTTATGTGTCTCCTGCAGCACGTGTCAGCTGTAAGTAAAAGATGACTTAGTTTACCTTGGCATTGTTCTCACTTCTAATTCCATTCTCTGAACCTGGCATCAATCTTAGTGCGTCCTGGTCTCACCCTTGTTTCTTAATGTCATCCACCAGAAGCTGACTGGATTTGGGGTGTGAAACTAATAGATACTTCAAAAGAGCAAAGCTGGAAGTTAGCCTTATAGCCAGTAGAGATTGAACAACAGAAGATGGATTACTGTTAAGAAAATGGCTAGGAGATAGTTCTAGGCTTTTGACTATTTTAATTATTATGTACTATATAACTATGTTAATATAACTTGTATAATAACATAGTTATATAGGTAATATAAATAATACATATATAAATATAAATAGTTTGAGAAAGAGAAGCTTTAAAACCTAAGACATTTGGAAGTTTATTCTAATTTGTAAGTGAATATTACTTTGCCTTGATCCAAGATAAACAGTGCATATTTACCGGTAGTCTGTGATATCTGTAGTAATCCATTATAAAAATGTATAAATGGATTTAATATGAGTAAAAAATATATTTTAACTAGGTGACTGCAAAGGCAGCAGTATATCTTGCGTGTTTTATTTTGCTAGACAAATCCATTTGGCAGAAAGAGAATTTCATTAAAGCCTTTTTTTTTAACTTTAGTTTGACCAAGTCGTTAATAGCATACAAATGAAAAGGTTGCAAAGAACCTCTTAGAGTCTCTGCTCTAGCTCCTGCTTAAAAGGACCCTTATCCTTCTGCCCATAAATACATCTGCATTTTCATAAAGGCACCTGGTGACTGTAATCTCACTACTTCATTAAGCAAATGATGGCCTCATCTGATTGACCTTCTTGTCAAAATCATTTTCTCTAATTGCTAAGCGAAACCTTTCTTTGCATCTTTATCTTACTAATGGTTATTNTGTTTATTGACTCATTTGTGAACTTGGGCTGCAAAATTGCTTTGTATTGACCTCTATATCCTGGATGCCCAAGATGGAGCTGTATTTATAGGGAGCAACAGATGTTTGTCAAAGGGCATTTGGACAATGTTAATTCACATATTCATTCAGCAACACACATTCAATGTATTATATGTAGGCAATAGAGTAGGCACTATTCTGGACCCTGGGGATACTGTGGTGACCAGGACAGCTCTTGCTCTCAGTCTAATGATTCAGAAGTAAAGACTTGCTTTGACACAAGTCATTATACTAAATGATGAGGAGGATAATTATAGAAAGCACAGAAACCTACTGTAAGACCAGCCTTAGTTATGGGGGTCTAAGTCTTCTCAGAAGAAGTGATGTTTACATTGGAACCAGAAATATGAGCTGAAACCAGCTGAAAAGGGTTGTCAGAATTGCAGGGGAGGAGTGGAATGAGTCCAGTAATAGGAAGCTTGCTAACTAAATATTAATGTATTTCAGGAGTGACTTTTTTTCTCTCAACAGAGCTACTTGGTTGGCTCTTCACATTACCTTAATAGAGACAAAGCCTGGAATAGTTGTTCAATGTTTAAATAATCTTTTTGTATATGACTCTTCAGCCAGTTGTTGAACATCTCAACATTTTAGTCAAGAAAACATAATTATTTTTTGATGTATATTTAGGTTTAGCATATGAAATCAAAGACAGTATTCTATAAAAGCTATCATAACTTTCCAATTCAGAGCCATGGTAAGATAATCTTTTTGTGGAAATTGATCTGCTCTCTAAATTTCAGAGGTCACTTTAAGTTTTCACAGAATCCTAGCAGCAATTCTGACTTGCAGAGAAACACATAAAAATTACCATATACTCATCTTAAAAATTTACCATCTTTACTACAAAATTTTCTGAGAAAATAACAGCTAATACGTGTTGAGCACTTTCAATGTTCAGATACTATGCTAAATATATACTATGAACTATATCTCATTTAAATATCCCAGAAACACAGTGAGCTAAGTAATATTTTTAACT